GTACAACTAAGTTGGTTGCCTGTTAAATATAAAGCAACAGCGTTGTTGACAGAAGTTTCAGTTCATCTTTCTTCTAGTTACTACTGATATATCTTTACTCTTCCCCAAGATAATTAAGATGCCTGCTAACATTACACCATGAGGCTTCTTGCTGTGCAGTCATCTGTTAAAACTGCTTATTCTCCAGGGATCTTCATAATTGTCCAGACAAAATATGATGTGAAAATCTGTAATATCCTGTGTAAAAAGTAAAATATTTAATAGCTGTGTGATCTTGAATCAGATCAGGGTTGGGGGTGAATGATTTTTATGTACTGTACTATTTTTCTTATTAAAATCTTCCATTGAAATCTTTACTGTGATGTGGGAAAACATGCAGGATCAGCTTCAAGGGGGGGGGGGGAAGGAGCCATAGGGGGAAGTTATAATTGCATCTTATTGGTTCCAACTTATGGCAGCCCTTTTCAGAGTTTCTCAGGTAGAGAATATTCAGAAGTGGTTTCCCATTCCCTTCTTCTGAGTAAACCCTGGGACTCTGCAGCTTGCCCAAGGCCACACAGGCTGGCTCTTCTTCAGGAGTCACACTGAACCTATTCAGCCAGTCTGGATAGGTCAGTGTGAGAAAAATAAAGACAGGAGTTCAGAGAGGAGGAGCAGAGAAAGCACCATGGGAAAAGAAGGGAGATGCCACAGAAAGAGAAGCAAGAGAGACAGAGAGAGAAAATGGAGCAACAGAGAGCTTTTTTTTTTTGACTTAGTAATCCCCCCACCTCCCTTTCTTGAATTCTCAGGTATTTTGATGAGCTGTGTACTTTAAAGTGAGCCTTATTCAATTAACAGGGCCTATTCCCAGAAGGCAACTTAGCTAGCACTTCTACAGCTGTGAACTCAGCAGCAAGTCTATTCAAGGAGCGCAAAAGACCTTGCACTGCAATTTTGTGTGAGCCTTCTCAGAAGGAAGGCCTATAGAATTCAGGTGGACTGAATTCCACTGTAATTTTGGCAGTAATGTGTTGTTAAACTTCTGGTTTTGGGGGATGGGGATTCCCCAAAATTCAATCCTTTAGAAGCAGCTCTGGCTTGTGAATCTTAAATATTGCTTCTGTATCCACGGTACAAAACATCAGGAAATGGTCTGACATTGCCTTGCACTAGTGTGTCCGTTTTTCATGGAGGAAAAAGGGATGCCAGGCTTGCATAGCAAAGAGCAGTCTGAATGTTAATGCATATTCAGCATCTCTAATGAGGCTTGTATTCTAACCCCAGATTCATTTATACTGGCACTGGATATTCTTAAACTAAAACATTTTGTGTACAAAAAATATATGGTAACACTGCATGCTCAAGAAAAAGATGAAAAGGAAAAGATTGGCAGTGGAGCTCTGATAGACCTAAAACCAGTTTAAGAATAATTCTTGCCAGTAAAGAAAGGCTTTGGAGTTCTGTGTGGGACTAAGACTTTGAAATCTATTTCATGAAGTAGTCAGGCTGAGAGAACAAGTAGCCCCAAATCACTTGGACAGCTTCATGGTTCAGTAGATACAGGAACATGGGTGTGTCAGCGTAGCACCTCTGTTAAGAAGATACAGCTTCATGGTTCAGTAGATACAGGAACCTGGGTGTGTCAGCGTAGCACCTCTGTTACGACTACACTTGCTTTCAAACGAGGTATCTTTCTCATATGTAATACTGTACTGAATGCAGAATAAGTTGTTGTTTTGCAACTGCTTCTAAACATGCACTGTTCCTGTGACAACAAAGAAAACACACCAAAGTAGCTGTTCCAGTTGTCTCCCCTGTGACAACAAAGAAAACACACCAAAGTAACTGCTCCAGTTGTCTGCCCTAGGTCAAATCCAGTATGAAACTGTGAAAGGGAACTTGTATTCAGGGGTCAATATTGACAGTGCATGACACGTTGATGCAAATTTGCTTCCTACAGACTTTCAAACTTGACAGACTGCTGAAAAATGTGAATGCTTCTATGTCCTGCAGCAAAGCTGAGGAACTGTTGGCCTTCTTGATGGTTTGGACTTCAGCTCCCATAATCCTGGCAACTGGACATGCTGAGTGGGGCTGACGTGAGTTCAACTCCAAAACATGTTGAGGATCACAGGCTCCCTACTCCTATAATACATGCTGAGTCAGGGTATCAACTGGATGAGCTACAGCTGGTTTCTGAATGACTTGATCTGTAGTCCCCATAGAAATGTTCTACTGTGGCATTCAGTTTCTTTCTCATGAAGACTCTCTCTCTATAGAACATTACAGAGATCCTGAAGCAAACTACGAATCACAAACACTGTTTTTCTACTTTTCTTTGCTATTGCACGTAACATCCACTTTGCACCCATTCCCACCTGACTTTGGGACTTATCCAAGCCAAACGAGCCCTACATTTTCCTCTTAATGGTTTCCCCATTCTCGTGAATAGGAGTTGGCAGCTGTGGTCCTCCAGATGTTTTTGGATCACATCTCCCATAACCCCTACTATTAGCTAATGTTGGTAAGGGCATATACGAGTAGTAAGCCAAAAATATCTAAAGGGCCACTGTTGCCCATTCTTATCCCAGAACAGGGATCAGTTGCATGCAGCTCCCAAATGTCCCAATTGCACTAAAATAAAAAGTTGGAGGAAAAATGAACTTGAATGCTGTGTCCTCTTGAAGGTATGGGACATAATTTTCCTATGTCTTGAATGGTCCATCACACTTCTCATTTTTTCAATTTGTTTTTTAAAAATTGGCCACTAAGATGCTCAAGTGAGACTTTTTGGTAAAAACAAAAACACTGCTCACACTGTTTGAAAATAGTTTTTGAGAGGCATAGAGAGTTGAAGGAAAATGTGCTCCCCAAGATCTGAGGATGGGTGTGCATGGCCTTGTATCTCTGCAGACGATCCTCTTGCTCTAGTGTAATCTCTCACTTTGATAGGTCTGTCTTTTTTTCAGAAGCAATCCAGTTATGCTTCAGGGTATAAGGATTAGCCAATGGGATACTGCCATTGTCCAGAGTGGTGGTGGGGATGCCTGGAGGTGTTCAGTCCTCACCTTCTTTGGGGAGGCTCCTTCTGTGTCCCCTGTTGGGCCTTGAGTCATTGCCACTTTCCAGTCCCAGCTACATAAGCCATACAGCCCTAAGGCACCCAGACCTGTCCCTTGATTATTTTGTTCTCTATGGGCATAGGCCCTTTCTTTTGTTCTTCTGCTCCAGATCGGCAGAAATGCATGCGGCAAGTTAATTCCGAAGTTTACAGTTTCTTAGAGCTGGTCTACAGCTAACGTAATGCCCCAACTCCTTTCAATATCTCCTGTCCTATTTAGGAAAACCCACTGGTCATGCCATGAGGGTTCATGATTGTTAATATTTCTACAGCCCCAGTGTGTAAACATCAGTTCAGTGGCCATGCTGGGTCCAGTAAAAATGCCCATTTAGAAAACTGCGGCTATCCATGGAGCTGTGTTTTGTTGTTTTGTTTCTGCTTTTGCTAAGTCAGAGCTCAGCAGTACTCTTGAGAAACCTGGTTTGTACTGAGTGGTCCCTGTATTGTCAACATTGACTGGCATCAGAGCTCCAAGATTCCAGGCAGGCGTATCATACTGTATCTGGTGGTGCTGGGGATAAGGACCTGGGACATTATGTTCCTCTTCCAGCTGAGTGGCACCAGTTCCTCAAGCTGTCAAGCACAGTTTTATCCCAAGCGAGATTCATGATAGAATTGAGACCTACGGTGCACAAAACATGCTTTGTTGCCAAGTTAGACCTGCCTGTATAAACTGTATGCTTATGTATGTGTGTATGTGTACCCCTTCCTAGCATCTTATGCTTAGGCTTAAAAAGCACAAAGTGTTAGATGAGGGGGAATCTTATTCCTGGAAGCTTTAAAATGCCAACATTATGATTTCTGTAGGTATTTTTTTCTTGAGGTCTGTGAGAAGCTGTATGGAAGATGCATGAGGCCGTAAGGAGCTTAAGAGATCTGGAACTCATTCCACTTGCTATGGCAGTCAGAAGAATCTAGTGTTTTGGACCTATGCCCAGTTTTTGGAGCCACTGCACGTAGGTACATCACCACGTGTCTGCTCCTGCTGCCTAGCTTTCATTGCTGCATCACAGGTGTGTCTGCTGAATCACAGACTTCAGGTAGAAACTTGCAGCTCATTAATCATTCCCCTGGCTTGTCATACGGACTTTTTTATGGGTGGAGATATCAAGCAAACGAGAACGCTCATTAATCATTCCCCTGGCTTGTCATATGGACTTTGCCTGGGTATTGTTATGGGTGGGTATATCAAGCAAACGAGAAACAGAGCGACATGCATGTTACCCAACCTGAAAGTAGCACTTTCCCTCCCTACCACTGTCTTTCTATTTGACATTTGCAAACTGTTTTTCAAGAACCACTAGTGTTCTCACACCCAGATGTGTTCTCTGACATATACTTGGATATACTCGTTTTGAGATTCTCAGATTAATTGTTCATTGCCTAATGCTAAGGGCATGTCTATTCCTGGTATTGCTCGTGGAGCAGGCATGTCCTCAAACTCATTCAGCTCTCAGGGCTTCCCTCCAGTGAACTTAAAGGAGTGCAAATCCAGGCTGCAGCACTGAGTCTAGAAATAATCAGGAAAAAGTGGTATTCTTGAATGGGCAAAAGCCTGAAATAACTGTTGCTGTTTCAAATCCGTTTTCAGCCATAAGTGAACTGGATGACCGTCATTACTGTATCATTAGCCTGCATCTATGATACAGCAAAAATAGTAGCAATCTGCTGAAAATGTTTTTACCTCTCATTACAGAGGTAATGTGTGTATTCACTGTTCTAAAGAGCTTTATCAAGCCTAATTATTATTAGAGCAAATTTCTGTTCAGAGTCCCAATAAAAATCTCTCAAAAGTATCAGCATTTTTTCTCAGCACAGCTTACCTAATAAAAGAGAAGAACCACGAAAACGAAATAGTAAGTACAGAAACTGTATTAATACAGTAATTAAAAGGGAGTAAGGTAATAAGCAAATGTCAAATTCAGGGTGGAATTCTACAATGGTAACTCCTTCAGATCTAAAAGAACCGTAACTGGAATTCATATATGTAAGATTATGGCACCCATCTGGCATCCAGTAGTAACTTTAATTCAGTGACTCAAATCCTGTTGTGGAAGTTATTCCAGGTAAGGCTGATAATGTCATCAGCTGTGATGATGATGATGATGATGATGATGATGATGATGATGATGATGATGATGATGATGATGATGAAGTAAAGCCTTTCTGATTTCTCCAATGGAATCTTTTTCATCATCAGCAAGCCACAGGGGTGTAGGATGCAGGATGGGGAGGTATTTAATTGTCTACAATCACTGCCTTTGGTAAAGTCTTCATGGCAGTAGTGATTTTCTATAATTAAAGTCTTCCCTCTCCTGTCCTGTAGCCCTCAATGGCTTTCTCACAGTGAAAGGGACTTTCAAGGGAGAAATTGGAAATGTTTTATTCCTGAAACATTGTTGCAGCCAGTTCCATCATCAACCTTGTGGCATAATTTATGGCAACAGGATTTTAGTCAATGGAACTGGATATGCTGGATTGTCACCACAAATGTTTAAATAATGGCAGTGTACTTATACATGGTAAAGTATTCAAAACAAGACACACAAGTGAATAGTTTTTAAAAGAACTGCTTCTGGTGTAATAGAAAACTGAGAATATGCAGGTAGGAGACATGAGCATAGATGGGCCATTTTGCACAAGGCTGAAAGTTACAACAATTACGGTCTTCAGAAAATATATATATATCAATAATACTACAAAGCAAAAGGAAAAGTGTTGCAGTCATCTGTTAGGTTGCTAATTATATTTTATTTTAAGCCTTAGATCTTGGAGAATCTGATGATACGTTTGATAGTGGTACATGATACGTTTTATGACTCGTAGCCCAATCTTAAGAACAGACGCAAATATTAGAAAGGAGCCTGTGAACCAGCATTCTCAGGTCAGTAGCATTCCAGAAAACTGGCAAAGGATCACTTCTTTGAAAATGATCTACTAAATTGACTCTTCTCTCAAAAAGGTAGCTAAAGTTTCAATCTGCCTGCTAAGCAGAGCATAGAAATGTTATATTCTTCTGTAGCATCAGAAAATTGGCCAGTAAAACATATTTTCACATCTTGGTAACAGACTGCACAAATATTCTTCATTGTGAGAGAACCGTTACAGAATTTAACAAGGGAAGAGGGAATTGAAAAGAAAGATTTGTGCCTCAGAGCAGTTTGTAATACTGCCCAAAGTCAGGCAGGTTAATCTAAGGTGAGTGGCTTGAAGCTCAAATACAGAGATGGTAAAGCCAGCAGAACCTTCTGTTAAATTTAGGTGCAAAATTGACAATTTTGACAGGATGGTTTTGTCACTTTACCTTCAAAAAGGGCAAACTTTTAAATCGGTTTGTACCTCACCCTGTGTCTTTCTAGTTTCTTTTGCCCTACTCTTAATGGATAATTGCCCTATATTTGTGACGACATTTTGCTGTATCTGATATTTAAAGCTTATGTTGGGGTGTTTTTAAAAGAACTGCTATGAGAATATTTCACATTAATTCTCAAGCCACACAATTCCTTTTTTTTAAAAAAGTGAAGTCATGAGAGAGAGAATAGCATTTTGGCAACAAATATACTGGGTCAACCGCTTACACTAATCAACCCGCTCTATGTCATCGTCCATCAACTTCAGTCCTGTAGGATCTTGGACCTGTTGTTTTTCTCTTCCTCCTTCCTGTTCCTCTGGTTTCGACATGGGTGCTGCCTGTTGTATAGAAGAGTTCCCTGTCTCTTGATGTGTAGTGGAGGGTAGTGTTGGCCTTGCAGAAAAAATTGGGTTGCATGTCTGTAGGTTGTGTGCTTCATCAGTTGTATTTTGATTGGTGGTTACCATGGGCGTTTCCACATGATGGGTCACCATGAAAGCCGCAGCCAGATCCTTCAGGATATTCTCACAGGTGGCAGACACCTCAGCAGCCTGGTTTGTAACAGAGGAACTTGCACTGGCCTCATTACCCAAGCTTTCTTCCTGTCCAGTCTGCTGTTCTTCACCCTCCTCCTCCTCTTCCTCTTCCTCCTCTTCCTTTTTCTCTTCAGCAAACTGTGCCTCTTTTATTTTTTTGTATAGTACATTCCTTTCATCCTGCAGAGCTCTGCAAAGATTCTCTAACCTTTGAATTTTCACTACAAAGCACTCATATTCCTTGGCCCTCATGGCTTTCTGTGATAAAGGAAGAGAAAGCAAAGCCCCGATAAATGGCAGAGAACAATCTAAAGGGATAGATTAACTTTTCTCTCGTTCTTTAAAACAGTTCTTGAAAAGTGACCCCAAGGTCATGTTATTGACTTGGTTACTTCTCCAAGCATTACAAAATTTTACAATTACCTGGGTTTGCAATGGCCAAAAGTCTTTATTTTCACCTACATAAATCTGCAGTACTGGGGAAGTTTTACAGAAGTTAATACTTGGTGGCATAAGGCAGTGGTTCTTAACCTTGGGTTACTCAGGTGTTTTTGAACTGCAACTCCCAGAAACCCCAGCCAGCACAGCTGGTGGTGAAGGCTTCTGGGAGTTGCAGTCCAAAAACACCTGAGTAACCCAAGGTTAAGAACCACCGGCATAAGGCAAGAGGATAGAGTGGGGGAAATTAGGAAGTTACAAAGTAATAGCATTTAGGTAGACTTTTCACTTCCACAATATGTGAGGCCAGAAATGTTAATTTATAAGGAATGCAAATAAGGTTATGAATTTCCTGTTGTGTTTTTTTAAAGTGCCCTACCTAATTTGAACAGTGAAAATGCCATGGAGTTGGATATGGGATAGAATGGACAGCCATGGAAAATCAGATTTTACTTGTCTCATTTTCATTCCCCTCACTGTGCTGAAAGTACCCATCCACTTACCAGAAACCGGAAGTGATTAGAAGGTCAATTCTGGGTTTTGAATATTGCTTTTGAGGGCATTTTGAGTTTGGGCAGATAACATTTAGATAGAGAATCATGCCCCGTAGAGGCTCAGTTCTCCATTTTACCCCCTTTCCTATAATTTGGGGCCCCCAGCACCTGAAGAAAAAAGGTTCTCCAGCTATACACAGTCCACAGGTTGTATAATTTCCACTGCTTATCTAGAATGTTCCTTCTGCTGTTGAAAGAGATCTGCTCACAGAAGGTGACCCCTTCTTCTGACTGGATTTAGGTGATTCTCCATCCCTTGGACCACAATTCTTTCTGATCAGCAAGATTTCACAAACTACTGTGTGGTATTTTCATGGCTCAGTATGGGAAGGAAGAGATGGTGACTTTTTGTAGCCTTCCACCACAGCCTAGTGACCATGAAAGAATGCCTTACCCATTCATAGTGGTGACAGTACAACCCCAGAACTAGGGCTATATGCATCCTCCAGAAAGCCTTCATCACCTGTTTTTCTCAATCATGTCCTTAGCTTCCCACATTCAGTAAGTGACTAGTCTGCTACTTAGCTTATTGGCTACTGCAAACAACATTTGTGGGGGAAAACTATGAACAACTTTTTGCCACACTTGAAATCATCTTAATTTTGGTAACAAGGAGATGCTGAAAGAATGATATATAAATAATATCATACTAGATCAGTGATTCCCAACCTTGGGTACCCAGGTGTTTTTGGACTGCAGTTCCTAGAAGCCTTCACCACCAGCTGTGTTGGCCAGAGTTTTCTTATCATAGCTTGGAAGTTTTCCTGCAAGTACTAGACGCCTGGGAAGGGCCATGTTAGCTGGGGAATGTGAGGAACTATAATCTAGAAAAGGAACTTTTCCAAGCTCCAAGTATAATTCTTAAAAGAAATCTACGGTACTATTAAATGCATTTAAAGTGACACTTATAGGACAGTATCTTGCTGATCTACACATGTGCAACAAGAATTATGTCATTTTCAGTGACAGGTTGTCACTGAATAAAGAGCTCCTTCAATTTTGGAGTGAATGTGACTCAGACACAATGGGACAAAGTTGTGTATATTGGAAATATAAGAAGAAAGTTTAACTAGTGGCAATCTGCTGCTGACAGTGACATTATTTCCATTGTACAAGCAAAGCCTATGCAAGAGGATATTCACCATGAGACTGTTTCCCTCGATTAATTAAAATTAGTCAGGGGCAGATTTCTCACCTCTTCAATCATATCCAGCAAAGCTTTATTGCAGTTCTCAAACCTTGCTTTCCAAGTAGCTGTGTCCTTTTCCAACTTTTTCATCTTTTTTGTCATCTATAGAGGGTAAAGGGAAACATCCAATTTAGAGCAGGAAGGTTAAAATTGGAAGTTAACAAGACAAACCCCTCCACGGCATTCCTACTCATACATAAGAGTAATAAACTAACACAACACAAAATTTGATGCTTGCCAAATTGATTCACAAGTCAAAGAGTAAGCAGAGGCAGCAAGTGCGGTAGTATTGAAATAATGAAATGAACACCCTCTTTTAAAATTTCTGTTAAGGCGCTTGCTTTTTTCTGCATATAGGAACTGGCTAATTCCTGTCCTGGAGGCTGTCTCAAACTGTAAGAAAATTGTATCCTCAGGGCAATAAAATAGTGCCTTGCATTATCATTGATCTGGAGGTAGAAAATGCTGGACGCATGTGATGGATGGGTGAGAATTATTTTCTAATAGAACTACATTTCAGACAGCATCTTTGAGATTGTGCTCTTTGGCATTGAGAGCCATCTGCAGACAAAGAAGGACAATTACATTTAAATGCAATCAAGAACAATTACATTTGCCTTTGAGGTGGCTGAAAAACATAGTCTGTGAACTGACAGGTCTGAGCTTTAGGAGGAGAAGTACCCTACTTGTACTAAAAGAGCAACACTAAGCGAATGGGTGTGATATATCAGAGGATCTCACAATTTACCAAAGCACTGAAGAGCCAAGCAATGTGGGAGGGGAGCCATTTTAGCATACAGTCTCCCGTCCCCCCCCCCAGCACAAACAATAAATTGATGTACTCCAAAACATTTGAGTTCCCAGTCTTTGAATTTCAATTCAGGTCAGCTTGTAACTAAGTAGATTATAATTATTTTACTATTGGGTGCAAAGACTTAGTTTTCCATTAAATTAATGAACAATGCAAACATTACTACACACTTGGCAGTCTGGTCAGATTCAAAGAGCAGAAGGAAATAAGGGTCGATGAATAAAGACTTAGCATTTCAGTTTTCTTGCCTACGGAGCCGGGATTGGAAATCTATAAAATACCAATGCAACATCTCATTGAAAAAGGATGACTAGTGTTTCATTGATTAAACTGATTCCATAACAAAAATAAATTTGTAATAAAGCTAAATGAAGTGGAAGGAAATTGAGATGGAAAGCCTCAAGTGTAACTTTTAGAAATGTAATAATTAACTCACCTTTTCCATTTCTTGCTTGAAGCTGGCAAACACCTCATTGCTTTTTGTCAGAGTTTTCTGAAATTCCTCAAATCGTTCAGAGTAAAGCGTAATCTGCATTCACAGGAAGGAATCTGGGTTAGTTTCACGTTCAATGCTTCCTGCTAATAAAGTTGGAACTTCCAAATGACTATAAGAAGAGGGTCAGGTAAAAAGGCAGTGGCTTGAATTTTGTGAATGCTGTGTCACCAGTTCTCACTATGACCGAAAATGAGAGGGCACGTAAGTGTTCCATTAATCTTTTTTCAAACTTAAATGAAATTGTTCAGTGTCTGCTATCTTTCCTTTTTTTTTTCTCTTTCTCTTAGAAGCCTGCTGTGGTAGGTTTGCCTCCATTTCACCTGTGAGACAGAATTCCCCTTTAAATTCTTGAAGAGTTATCCTCCGTTTCCTTCAATTAAAGGCTGCTATAGCATAATTCTTAGCCAACACATTAGATTAAGTTGTTGTTTTAGTGCAAATTTAAGTTGTTAATATGAAAACGTTACTATATACTTAGTAAATGCAATTTGTAGATATCATATGGCACATTAATTACTTTTCTGAGGAATTAAGCTTAACTGCAATCACATTTGCCAGGATCATGTAAGTTAAAGTCATAACAGACTCGTAACAGTATTAATCTTCACTTGCCTCAGGACCTAGAAGACACATTCCTAAGGGACTGTGAACCGGTCTTTCTGGAATGCTGCCAGATGAGACCTTCCTCAGTGTTTCTTATTGGCTAAATTTCTTTGCTTGGTGACCTTAATTTTTGGAACTATCAATTCTCCAGAGTACTTAAACATCATACAACAGACTGAGGATTATGGGGAGTAGGGGACAAGCAGAAGGAGAATAGCAGCAGAAATGCAATTTTCCTCCATAGTTACAGCCATGATTCAGGCCATGGAATTTGCTTTCCAGCTGGATCCTTGGTCAACAGGTTTCTGAACTTCCCCATATTCATGTTCAAAAATATTTATTTATTTATTTTTGGACTTATGTACCGCCCCATAGTGCTACAAGCACTCTCTGGGCGGTTTACAATTTCATTATACAGGCTACACATTGCCTCCCCAGCAAGCTGGGTACTCATTTTACCGACCTCGGAAGGATGGAAGGCTGAGTCAACCTTGAGCCGGCTACCTGGGATTTGAACCCCAGGTCGACGTTTGTGGCTCTCAGAATGGCTAAAGAAGTAGGTGAGCATGTGCCTGCTAGCCCCGTGAAATTAGGTGAGATTTGAAGGAATCTCAAATGATCAGGGCAATGGCCTTCTCTTGAGTAAAAAAGCATTAGTAGAAGACTGAAACTTTGCAGCCAGTAACGTTGCAAGGGATGCTGTCAGCAGCCAATCACAACATCTGGGAAGGAACACTTTGAAGGTCTAAAAGGGTTTCTTAGAACTCGCTGGGAGTGGTTTTGTTCAGCTATTCCTCTGTCCCTGCCAATCAGTGCAATGTTGTGAGTTGAGCTCTGGGTCAGAACTTAGCCCTGCCAGACTCCCAATCCTCAGTTCTTCTCTCAGCAAGCTGAAGATGCTCAGTTCTTTCTCAGAAGCTGGCGTTAAAGGCAGACTTGAGCATGTGCCTTCTGAAGCTTTTTCATTGCCCACGCTATCTAGGGAAGACCACTGATACTGATGCCTCAAGTTTCCAGTAAGGTTCTCCTTGGAGGGAGGGTTGGTGGCATCTCATGTGACTCTCTCTTTCACTTTCTCTATCTCTCCACATCTCTCTTGCTCTCTGTGTCTACTCAGCAACAGTTGGCAGTTGCAGTCTCAGCTCCTGGCAGCTAGCGGCTAAGAAAGCGTCGTAGGATGTTTAGCAAGCATGGCCAGACCTTGACAAACCCTCTTGTTTTAGAGGGTGTCCCTGGTTTTGCGGGTGTTTTTGTTGGTTGCCTGCTTTTGGAGTGGATTGATCCTTTGTGTTTCTGTGTCCATCATTTTTTGGAAGTTTTTGATGGCTCTCATCTTTAGGACTTATGAACATGGGGGGGGGGAAGAGAATAGGAGGGAAAATGAAGTTAAAGAACCAAAAAGAGCCCCTCCCTTTCATGTCCAAGAAAAGGACATGAAAATTAAAGATGCATCTGCCCGAAAGAACCCACAGTGAAACAACATGGAAGTTTTAACCATATGCATCCTGAATTATGGGAGCTTTAACACAACACATCTGGAGGGCACAGGTAGGCTGGAAAATGTTCGCTGAAGGCAAAAATGGAAAATAATGTAATAAAGCAATGTGATTATTACAAATAAAACATTATGATCATCAGTGGTTATAAATTCTTCCTGTCTTTTGATGTTTGATACCCAGTATGTCACAGACTGCTCTAATTATTTAAATGTGATGCATGCTTTTGCATCATGCAGTTGAGATGCTTTGGTAGAGTGGAAAACACAAGGACATATCATATGACCATGGGATTTCCCCATACACATTTAGGGGTTTAGCACATTAAACACGTTCAAGTAAAAAAAGATACACTAGCAGCAATCAACTGTCATACTTACCTGGGCCTGGAGAATGGTTTCTTGTTCTTTTAGCATTTTTGCCTGCAATTTCCACTCTGCAGCTTGGTTGAGTAGCTGTGTTTGGAATGAAATAACACACAAGGTGAAAGGTGTACTTCAAAATGAGTTGAATTCTTGCTGCTTGGAGTACTTTTTGAATAGCATGACACCTTTTAGGATAATTAGTCAACCTCCTAAAACACATAAGCATTTACACAAGGGCTGAAACCCAGTAGTAAGGTGTAACTAGAGTAGGCCCATTAAATGATGGTGAGTTAATTCCTCTCTAAGTTCCATTAAATCAATGGGCCTATTCTCATTACACCTGGAGTTCAGCCAAAGTCTTTCATAGGGGTTTCAAGTGTTGGGTTTTTCTTTATTTTTTTAAGCAGAAGTAAAATCCTTTGGGTGAATTACAGTTTGGTTGTATTCAATGCTGTGAAACAAAATTCAGAATAGCCTGAGGGCCAAGTCAGGTTACAGCCTAGTCCTTAATCCTGGGAACTGTCTGGACTTCAAAACTGCTTAAAATTTTCATCAGAGTTGCATTGTCACATATTTCAGCCAGGAACTATCCTTATGTGTGTCAGATATAAAGCAGAACAGATGAGGAGGCCAAGACGTTTGTTGCATATTATCTAGTGCAGTTCATTAACAAGTATTTCTCCCCTGTCTTTCTGATGTCCTAAAACTGAAATGTCTAACATATATTAATGGTTCAGTTAAAAAAACCAAACAGGTGTTAATTCCATAAAATAATTAAAAGCTCAAAGCATTACTTCTAATTAGCAACTGTTGCTTTAAAAAAAACACACACACACACAAATACCCAAACACAAATATGCAGATAGGATAATGTTAAAAAGACCAAATCTATCATTCAAATGCTGATACTAGTATTCTTTATTAATAAAATATAACACAAACAAGAGGAGAATTCCATCAATAAACAATATATAATTATAGAATGTAGTTTTGACACAGGCAAACTGTCTTTGCTCCTAGAAATACTGAAATGTCTACAGAATCTTGTTAAGATGGATCAGCTTGAGGCTAGGCTCACTACAGCCACAGAGGAACTGTTCTGCCCTTGTTATTTTTTTTTGGGGGGGGTAAGTTTCTCTATCCAAACTGTACTCTAACAAGGCATGACCAAGTAATTGCTTTGGTGGGGGATTTTTTTAAATTGAAATTGAACTCCTAGTGCCAAATATCAACATTTTCCTCCATTGCTCTGGAAAAGCCCTCTGGAGCTAATTTCAAAATATGTGAATTCACTAAATAAAGACCAAGATAAGATGGAAATTACTTAGTGGAGGCCAAAGTCCATCTGCGACCCTGTGTGTTGAGAGCAGATGTTGCTGCAGTGGTGGTGAACAAAGAATCATTCAGTCCCAGTCACTCAGAAGGCTCCCAAAAGAGCTTGGGAGAGGGGATCTCCCTATCCTTTAAGATGCCTCAGAGAAGAAGCCGACATTTTGAGGCATTCAAGGTTGCCACTGAAAATGGTGATTTTGTGACCAGCTGTCCCTTTGCCCCATAATACATGGTACAGCATTCCTTGTACCTTGGACATCTTTTTATAGAGCACTTTTGCTCTCGCAGCACATGACTTGATTGTACTGCCTGCAGCATTCTGGGAGCTGTAATCCAAAATACGAAATTTGTGAAGCTCTGTTTCAGAAGCACAGGAGAACATGGGATCCTGTAGATCCACAGCTTGCCCCCAAGAATGACCAATGACTTGCCATGTCAAGAGATGCACAAGGCCTCACACGGTCTCTTGGGGAATATGTGCACATTCTGATGTGGGATTATTCTTGTATCATCAACCAAGATGTTAAAGTATACATGGTGCCACAAACTCCAGAGGAAAGTGTGAGTGTTCCTTCAGTCAGTTTAGAGTACCACAAAATTGTTCAGCGGTTGCGTGAAATCCAAGAAAATAAAACTAGACAAAGGGGGTACAGATAACTTGCACATGGACATTCAGTTAAAGCTGGAGCAAAGCTTTTGAAGTTGGTTTAAGATCAATTGGTTTTTGGGTTGGTGTGTGCATTCTCTTGGGACAACTGTTTATGCAAGTGTAAGATGTGGTATATTGGTTGAGTGGGCTACATGGGCTTTTAAAATCATGTAAAAATTGGCATTGTGAGGCTCCAGCTTCCTGTGTTTTGCTGTCCTGAGGCTATGTATTCTCAGAGCAGAATATCTGCACCGAAATATCTAAAATGAAACCCTGCACTGCTGTAGCTATGGGGAGACACTCCTGATGCTGGCACATCCTGGAACTGCTTTTGCAGTTTTTGTCTTCCACCTGTCTGCCCTTGTGCTGTCAGCCGCTTGGCACTGCCAGCTCACTTCCCACATTGAGGTGGGTAGACAGCAAGGGACAAAGGCCATGTTCTTCTGTTGTGGTGTGATTTTAAAATATTTTATTTGCTTCCCCCCAAAAAAACTGGCATAACGCTAGATCAATATTACAGACAGAAAAAATAATAATGGCAGATTGGACTGCAGCCCAAAATCTGTGATCCTGGCATCAGTACTTGACAAACCCCACAGATACAATTTACTCATACACAGGCAAGCAAGCACACATGCAAAAATGATTCAAAATCAATTTCATTCATAATTGAGTTAAAATAAACAAGCACCTAGTGGATGTTTTAAATAAACAACAAAACTTTCTGAACAAAAAAAGAAGCTTCCTGGCAAAATAATAATAATAATGATAATGATAATAATAATTAGCAGTATGTCATTTAAATTGATATTTAAATCAATTTCAATGCAAACCCAGGAGTATTTCGATGTGTAACTGCACCCTTAGTTATCTAGGGAGCCAGTAAACAAGCTCGATTCATCATAACTTGAGATGAAGTGAAAAAGCTGTTCCAGTTCCACTGGGAGGCAGCAGAGCTATTCTGTTAAAAAGCAGAAGCAGATGGAGCTGCTGCTTTAGCTGCTGGAAAGCAAAAGCCATTTGAAATAAGGTGAGGAGTACTAGGTCTTGTAAAGTTCCAAACTGCTGCAAGCAACACCAAGTGTTTTAAAGGTATTTGTGGGTTCCTGAACATAATTGAAACATTGTGGATGAATCAATTTCTAACCAAGAATCTAAAAAAGCTTGCTTGCAGACTTTTAAACTAAATTTATAATCCCTCCTCTACTTCCAAATTTTATATCACTTTTGCCTTGGGGGCACTGGGCCTCTGTTTAGAGCAGAGAGGACGACTTGAACTAAGAAGATGGTATTTTGCTCATGCACAGGAAAAATAATAATAAGGGGGTAAGTACATATTCCTTCTCCCGTGTATGCCGTTCCTCTGCTTCTTTCATCACTTCTTGTGACTGTTCCAGCTTGGCATCTACCAGTTTCTGTTGAAGCTCCCTGTGCTTAAATATTTTATCCAGGTGCTGGAGGGGAGAAAAGAGAAACCATATATATGTTTAAGCTGCAGTTCTTATACACACTTACTTGCAAGTAAGCCTAGATGAACATGGTAGGACTTATTTCTGATCATGTGGTTACTGACATAAATTATTAATACCCTGAATGGTGTTTTTAGCTTTTAAATACAGTGGTGCCCCCCATGACGACAATAATCCATTCCATTAAAATCTCTGTACAGCGAAATTGTCGTCATGTGTAAACAGTTTCCCCATTGGAATGCATTGAAAACCGGTTAAAGTGTTTCAATGGGGAAATTACCTCGTCGTCCAGTGAAGATCCTCCATAGGGCAGCCATTTTGCGAGCGCTGATCAGCTGTTTTTAATCGCTGTCTTCCGAAGCAGGGGTCCGAAAAACAGCAGGAGGCCATTTTGTGAAGCCGACAATCAGCTGTAAAGATCGTCGTTTTGCAATTAAACGGCCCGCGAAGCATGAACCAAGTTGTCAAGCGGAATTCCCCCATTGAAATGCCTGTTTTGCGAATCGCTATAGCGATCACAAAAATGCATCGTCATGCGGTTTCGTTGTTCTGCGGGGTGGTCGTCATGCAGGGCACCACTGTATTTGTGTTTTAATGATGCAAGTTTCCTTGGGTTCTTTTAAAGGAAAAAGATGGTGTAAAATATTTTAAATAAATGAAAAAATAAACATGCTAAAGTTACTATACTGTATTTACAGACAGCACAACTGAAAGTAGAAATTAAACTATTTAGATTTGTAATAAATTTTAAATGGCTTCAGCATACCCTGATTAAGCACAATGATCAAACATAGGCTAGAGACAGACTATAAGGTGAGAAAGGGTTTGTTAGTTTGCCTATTTTTCTTTTAGTTAGCTCTGATTTCGATAGTTAGTTGCAGCGAGTTAGACAGCATGGTTGAATGAGCGTATAGTGGTGCCCCGCATAGCAACATTAATCCGTTCCAGGATTAACATCGCTATCCGGAAACATCGCTATCCGGAATGTAAAACCCAATAGGAATGCATTAAACTCCGTTTAATGTGTTCCTATGGGGCGAAAACTCACCGGTAAGCAAAGAATTCTCATCTGGCCACCATTTTCGCCACCTCGGTAAGCGAGGCGCGAAAATGCTGCGGGCGGCCATTTTCTTCTGCCGCCATTTTGGAACCGCTGTTCCTAAAACATCGCAATGCGAAGATCGGTAAGCGAAACGCTTTACCAAAAAATGCATCGCTATGCGGATTCGTCGTTAAACGGTGCGCTCGTTAAGCGAGGCACCACTGTATAGAACATATGCTGCTTTTACTCAAAAAGCCATGGACAGTGTCACTTGTAAAGGCAAGTGGAAAGACTAAAATGGGACAACTGGAGATAACTGCAACTACATGTTATGTATGGGGAGCGGGGTTTGAGAGAGAATGTGGCTCTCACCTCCTCTCTGACTTCATACTGGTCTATTATACTTTTCAATTTTTCAGCCAGCTCAGTGTTCTCCTGGCACAACTTCATGTTCCTCTCACTTTGCTGCTCAATCTGTGCCTGGATATCATTCAGTGTGCCCTGGAAATGATTTGTGATCTCTTTCCTTTTTTCCTCTTCTTCTCTTGCTCGCTGTAGAGTCTCTTCCTGGAATTAAGCATCTACATAATTATTTCCATAGACAGAATTTAGTTAGCATAGAGACTCACATAAGATGATGCAGGTGTCACTGTTGATGGATCGTGGGTTTCTTGCCATGTGGACTACGAGAATGGAGGAAGAGCTTGAGTAAGTTTTTTAAATGCACATGCATCCATGACAAAAAAAGGGAGACATGGGGACATAGATAGGAAGGGTTATTTACTTCCTCAGCTGTATATTGCAGGCTCTCACCTGAGGGCTTGGGTAGTACTATACCAGTCAAATCAAATTAAGCGTTAGACAGATTCATAAAATGTACCTGGGGGGAGGGGGGGAGAGAGAGCAGTTTCTAAAGAAGGGCAAAACTTTTTTGCATTTAACTTCCTGCCACCATTATTTATCTCTTTTACTGATCTGGAGCAACATTTGTATGCACAGTGCCCTAGGAGATAAACATGATTGCTAATATCCTTTTGCTAAACTCTGCCTGTGAATAATGAGTAATGGCAGTGGCAGATTGCTATGAACTAGAGTTCCTTTGAAAAAAAATTCACGGTGTGTTGACTCGTGTGCAATGAGGTGAAGTCATGTGCACCTCAAAATGAATAAAAAAAGAAGTCTTTCATTGCATGCAATTTGATGCTGCTGTCATTCCCACTGCACAGGAAGAACGCCATGAGGGGATAGTAAGCAGCATTATTTAAGTTGGAATAAACATGCATAGGCCTGCTAGATGCAGATCTGGGGAAAATTACTTTGAGGCCTGCCTCTCCCAGAATCTTCTAGGCAGCATGGCTACTAGGCATGCCGGCTGGCGATTCTGGGAACCGTAAGCCAGAAAAATAACTTTTCGAAGCAATGGCTGGATTTTAGCTACAGAATCAAAGGCTGCATCGCTCTGAATACCAGCTGCTGAGACGCAACAGTGGGAAAAATACAGTTGCCCTCATAGCCCTGTGTGTGCTGATACAAAATGCCCCTCATTTCTTCTATTTTGAGGATGGCAGCCTGTGGCTGTAAACAGAGGATACATTTCCTTCAGGAGAAGCCCTACTATTCAGTAAAGGGAGGCTAATTATGTTCCATGCAGAGCTGTGTACGTGACCTTTTGCAAGCACTCCCTTTGTCTCCAGCCTAATCCAGTCTCTTGTACCCTCCCTGGAGAAGAAGTGTATAACTGCAGGTCTTGCCTCAGGGTGATAGACATGGAGCAGCCCACTAAGTAATGCTTCCTGTTGATTTTAGCCTTTCTGATACATATGAGGGCATTACCTCTTTAAATCTCTTTAACCTTCTCACACTTACCCAAGCTTACAAATCCCCTTGCTATGTCAGAAGATTTTTCTAGGGAGAGAACTTTGGGGCAACTTTTTGCCTTAAAAAGAGATATAAAGAAAAACACTGGCCATTCCAGGAATCCAAGCGTATCACATTAGAGACATTAATGAGGCCCTCAGTATATCTTCTTGATTTAATCATTGCAAGATCCTGTTTCTCCACCCCAGTATTACCTGCTAAGGCCCAAGACTACTGCCAGGACGTGCTAATACAAGATTTACTCACTCACCCTTGCATTCTTTCCACCAAGGGAAGGAAAGAGGCAGAAAACTCCCCATTGACAAAATTAAAAGGGAAAAAGGGACAAAAGAGGGGAAAAGGCAAAGGAGCACTTTAAAGGGGAACACATTTATTTCAGTTTGCTTGTGGACTTCTCCAGCTGCTACATTCCAAGCTTATTTCCTGGAACTAATGAGCAGTCATGAATGAAGAATGTGCCTTTGCTTTTATTCTAATTATTGAATCCTGAGGGTAAGGATGAAAACAGAACCCAGGGCTTGTGACTCTTTAGATACCCCAAGAGCAATGTTCACGGGATGCAAAAGCAATCCTGTTAGTACGTAAGTACCACTCTCTTTTTTTTACTCACATTTCTTCTGAGACTCTTGTTTTTAACATATTCACAGGCCAGCATAGGTCACTCTTTGCACTGACCTGTTTCCCTCTTCTGATTGGTCCATCAGCCAGTTACTTCTCTCTTACCCCCTATAGGTCTATTGAAGCATTTTCTATTTCCACTTACATGAATGTGGGAATTGATGGGATTCCACACTGAGCAGCCCTGCCCTGACATCACCCTCCTCTGAGATCTACACTTCCATTATAAAAGGCATTTCTCATGTTTACTTGCTTAACAATTTTTTTTTCATCTACAGTGGTAGTTATGTCCATCTTTTGCTGTGAAAACAACAGAGTGTTGTGATACTTTTAAACCTAGCATGTTTTATTTGTCAAACTATTGTCGACTGTAGCCCTCTGCTTCAGACATATGGAGTGCTATGTCAATTGACAGACGTAACACAGGGGGGTCTATCTACTGAGGCTACACTTTGTGCATCTGAAGAAGTAGGTTGCAGTTCATGAAAATCTGTGCCAAATAAAACGGGTTAGTAGAACTCTGTATTGTTTCTGCTTGACAATAAATACGTGACCACCAGCCACAACAATACATTTAAACTGATTCCAAGCAGTACCATGGTGTATTTCAAAGATGATGAAATGGTAAATAAATACTGTACAACAAACAGCCATATGGTCCATTCATAGCCTATCCCACGCCCACAGTAGAAGGTTGGGTAGTACCTTTATGGGATCAATAAAAAAATTAAAAATAATTATCTTATTTCTTCAACAAATCTGGGACTTTGCTCAGCTGGATGCAGTTGAACTGCACATTGTTTATTAAAAATGTTTACAGACTTCTGCCAAAGGTATTCATCTACTTCTTGGACCACTGTTTTTGGATGCAGAACCTGGACAAACGATTCAAGAGCTTAGTATTGCAGACAGGTTGTTATAACAGATTCACCTTCAGGGTTTTATTGTGTCTCTGGAGTTCCCTGCAGAGACTCTCCAGTTTGCTTCGGGCAAGGATGGCTCTGCTGTGTTCGCTCTGCAATTGGTCCTTCTCTTTGATGAGCTGCGCTTGTCTTTTCTGCAGATGCTTTAGCTTTTTCTGTTCAGTACGATGTTCCTCCAGCTAAAAGCACAGGGAGAAGAAAGACAGAAAGAAGCCGAGCAACAGCACTAACTTCAGTAAAGGAGGGGAAGAAGGAGTCCTGGTTTGCAAAACTTAAAATACCTTTTAAAACATTGTTCATTTTACATTTTAAAAATCACCAGTGTTAGGAAACAGATAAAATGGTTTCATGTTTTATACTTACACTTAAAGAAATTAATATCAAAAGTGTTCCTTAACTTTCTTTTTCAAAAGTTTAAGTTGGGTTGGTGCTAGAGTATGTGTGTTTTTTCATGTGTTCTCATCTTATTGTTTTCCTTTGAATGTTATCACTGTGAGCCACCATGGCCTAATTTAATAAATCAAATATTGCATTCCCAGTTCTTTTGATAAGATTCATGTCGTTTCGGGAGCCTAATAATTTCAAATTGGCCTTTGCAAATGCCTCCTAACAGGCAGACCATGACCATGTCGTACATCTGCTCAGATAATGTTATTACAGCAATCACTACTTGTATTTCCCAAAAGAAAAATCCTGAGACTGCAATCCTGTATCCAGTTATCTGACAGTAAGCCGTATTCAAATTAATGGTATCTATAGGACTGTGCTGTATACTAAATTAGCCAGGAAACAGTGATATTTACATACAGAAAGTATGGCTTTTGGATGGGGTCCATGATATGAATTAACAATTGCCTAAAGTAGAAAAGCCCTACTAAACATTTTTCCTGTTGACAACCGTTTCCCATGGAGAACCCAACAGTGGAAATAAGCATTATCACTGGCTGCTGACTGCACAGAACATGGTGTTAACCATTTGGCAACTCAATCCCTGTGACGTCATTGCCAGGAATTCCTTAATTTCCTTGACATCCACTTTCTCAGCCCAGGTGTGAAGAGGTTGCCATTCCCATCTCCATTTGGATCATGGCCCTCCTTGCTGGTTTCTTCATAGGAAGCTGTTGTTAAAGATCAGCTGGCCGGTTAATTACAGTTAACATTGACTAAAGAAATTCCATGGCAAAGTGCCATTTTAGGACAACATTGTTTAAAGTAGGAAGCCCCAAAGAAAATTGCTCCAAATGAAATAGACATTGGCCAAAGGAAATGCAAAGTCAGCTCCAAACATGCTTGCCTGATGTGTAACCACTTGCATTAGAATAGGTGGTTTGGAGTTTGTATCTGGCAACAACAACAACAACAACAACAACAATAATAAAAAAACAAAATTGGCAGTTTTAACACTTGCTGGAAGGAAAACAATAATCTTACCTGTGGTCTGGAAAACTTTGGTCCAAATGTATTTCTTTAAATAGTACTGCTCAAGTTTATCAAAGTACTGTAGGTTGGACTTGTATCATACCACAGATCAAACATTCTGCCTCAATAGCTCCTTGTGCCTTTTGCTATCTCACCCGCAACATACCATCCTCCATTGCTCTTTCCCGACCTATCCTGGCCCAGTTTAGGACTTGAAAGTATTGTGGTTACAGGCTATATGAGGACAGAAGTGAGCAGTTCTAGCCTATGGCTTGCAAGGGCCATCCTTGTGTCTTCTGTGTCCTTCAGTTTGTTATGGTGTGTATTGGGAGAATAAAAAAAATCCATTGAAGTTTTCCGCCAAAATTCAGTAGCAAACTGATAAATCAGCAGTTTAGTTCACAATGGCTGTGTATTTCAGTAAGTACAAATGTTCATTGAAAGTGCTTCCAGCCAGTTGTTATCAACTTAAATCTCAGTGGGTGAGTGGGTGGGAGATGGCTGTGTATTTCAGTAAGTACAAATGTTTATTGAAAGTGCTTCCAGCCAGTTTCTATGAACTTAAATCTCAGTGGGTGGGAGAAAAAAATCTTTAATGCTTTTAGAGAAATTATGAAGTGGTTCTTGCTACAGTGCAGTCATGGGTGATGTATGTTATCCATGTTAGCTTCTACTGATGTTTGCGGAATGTTTGCAGAATGTTTGCATAACTTGCTGTGGCTAAATGCTGGCTAATTGACAAATGGTTGCACAGTTGAATGACCAGGCACGTGACCAAAACATGCCTCAACACCTCAGCAATTAGCCTCCATTGGCCACAGCATGCTATGCAAACCTTACACCAGTAGGATTCTGTCCACTGTAGCATAATTCCTCTGTCTACCTCACTCCCTATGCAGCATATCTTTAGGGGCCTGGAAGAGCTGCAATGAACACAAACACTGAGAGTGTCAACATCTGCAGGCAGAATTGCAGTGCAGCCCTATGCCCAATTACATAATCTCATCCCGTCCAGTCCAATTCATTTCCCTATGTGAGGAGGAAATTTTGTGTGTCATGGGTTTAGTTCTAGAGATGTGAAGGCTCTGTCTGTCTCTCCCTCCCTTGGAATCCAAGAGTGGAGCTCACTTCTTTTATTTACTTAGAGTGGGAGGAGTATGTGGGTATGTGAAAGATACATCAGTATTGTTACATACAGCTATGACATCACCTGCCCGTCACTGCTGAAGCTGTGTGTCATCTACCAATGGCGTGATGGAGGGTGGGACATAAGGGGTGGAGCTGTTGTATATAAGGGGAGTGAATGGTGTGAGAGATTCAGATAGGGCCAGATAGGGCTTTGAGATAGGGTTGAGATAGGGAGATAGGGCTAGGAAATATTGAGAGATAAGAACTGTGCTATATAGTGAGGGTCTGTGAGAGTGTGAGTGTGATTGTTATATTATTATAGTGATTGCTTTATTATTTATATTCAAGTGATTTACCATTCCTTTTGTTTGTACACAATAAACCTACGTTTTTATTTTGAAATCATACTTTGGCCTGAAGCTTTATTTGAGGGAATGGTTGGTGGCAGTGGAAACGAAGAGTGATTGAGTGTGACGTAACGGCCCCTTTGTGAGGTATAAGGTGGCTGTTACAAGTGTGCCCATGGTTTGAGAGAAGAGCACAGTTGTCTATGGTTAGAATTTCTTTACACTTTGAAACATAGCTTTTTTGCTTTGTATAGAGGTCTGATTCAGTGAATCTACTCTAGTTAGGGTGCCAATAGGATGGAGGCCCTGATATCTTCTATAATGAAATAAAAGAGGGCAAATGAGAGGATCAGAAGAAATGCAACAGGAAATGACTATGGCTGAACATTTTTGCTACTTTACCAAGAACAATCCACCAACTTGGATCATACAGGACATATTTTAAAATAGCGTTTCTTCTCCTGGTACCTCAGCTCCCCATTTTATAACTGCTATACTAACCAGTTCTGCGTACTTCTTAAACAAAATGTCCAATTTCTCTTCTGGTGTATTCAGCTTGTTCAAATGTTGCATCAGTAGGGTAGCTTCTTTTCCTGGGGTGAATAAAAGAGGAGCTTTTAAAAAGGCCATTTTTACAGAGAATATACTTCAGAACAGATTAAGAGCAGCAGGAGAATGTACAAATATTTATAACTTGAAAGTTGCACCGTCTTTCTTTTCTCCTTTGTATTTTGAAAGGTCAGCAGCACGCTGTATGCAACATTCTTCTTCAAACCTATTCCAGGTGCTTGTGAAGTAATATTTGAGGTGGCCTCTTTTTATATATTGCTGTAGCAGTTCTAGTCTCACTTTTGGGGGATAAAAAAAAACTAAACTAACTATTAATATGATGTGTTTTTTTTGTGCACCAGATTGGAAGAGTGATGAAACAAATATTTCATGTGTAATTCCACCATTCTTGAAATACACCTTCCATATTAATGCAAATTCAAAGTTGCTTTGTGTATTTCACATACAACTGTACAGCTACAGACAGCACGGGCTTCCAGTAATGGCACTTAAATTCCAGAATTTAGAAAATTTACTTTTTTGGACTACAACTATAACTCCTTGCAGAAATTTGTTGTCCAAAACTTAACTTTCCCAAGCTTTGCCCAATCTTTTCTAACATTTTTAAACTAAGCCTAGGAAATGCTGCTTCCAGCAGAATCTTGCTTTCTCGACCATTTCCAAAGAGAAGACCCATGCTGTCGAATGGCAAGGCTCTGGAGATCCCGTTCTGTTGCTTTCCCTGATATAGCCAGTGAGTCACATTATGTCCGACCTTCCAGTTATGGATGTAGCTACTTGCCTAGTCCCTTGAGCATTTTCTTTTCCAGTTTTTGTTCCTTATGGACAGTGGGCTCCTTTGAGCTAGAGGCCTCTCCAGAAGCAGTCCGTTCGCCCCTTGCCTCGTCATGGGCATCTTCATATTCTCCATCCTCATTATTAAATGATTCTCCCTTTTCGGTTTTATCTGTTACTTCAGCCTCTCTTTCTTCCACAAGGTTGGCAGCGGACCCGTAGGTTTTAATAATGTCCTCCAGCTGTCGGTTCAGCTCCTCAGATATGTCACAGAGCTTTATTTCAGGCTGAGCATGTGCCACATTCTCAGGGGACAGAGGCCCAGGACATGGTTTGTCATGTGGTTTCCCTAACCCGTTCCGAGTAGGGAGCGCTTCAGAGCTGTTTACAGGAGGCAGTGGCTGCTGCTCAGGTTGATGATCAGGAGTTTGGTTATTCTCCATCCTTGGAATATAACCTGGCGGCAAACAAAGTTGAGTTTTAAACAGATGCACTGACGATGAACAGAATAAGAATAAAGTGTTAGCAAAGACTGCTGTTGTACCTATTAGCACCTTTACTTGATATAAGCTGGCATCTTGTTCTTTGACAAGCCTGTCTCCTAACAGTGGTTGCATAGGTTCATGGAGCTCAGTATTTCCTAAACCAGAATGGAAGAATATTTGGCCCTGAAGGTATCAGCAGTAAATTTGGAAGTGGATGAACTCATCATGACGGTCAACATTACCACATGCTCCCCAGTAAGATCCAAAACGCAGACTGTTGGATCAGTCCATATCAGCAGATGAGGAGCTGTTCTTTCGAAAAGCGAATGGCTATTAATTTCCCATTCAAAATGAACTACCCCTTAAATACTTTGCATTATAAACATGGATAGCTTGCAACAACATTCTGTTCTTGGTAAAATCCATTTCTTTCCCAGTTATCGTTGCAGCTGAACTCAAAGGGGATCAGAGGAGTCTGAGTCTATGGCAGAAGATGTCATAATGCCTGCTGATCGAAAAAATTGCAGGGCATTATCTGTGTGAGTCCTGGTTGCACTACACTACTGGACGATGCTGTAGGAATCCAATTCATACAATCCCTCAGCATGAGCTATTCTGATTGGAACTGACGGGAGCGGCAGTACAGCAAAATCTGAAGGACCACGATCTCTTTACCTTGGCCTACACTGATTAGCAGTGATCCCGAGTACAGCCCTGCCCAAAGATGCCAAAAATCAAACCTGGGACGTGCAAAGTCTTAAGTAGCATATTACTCTTAGACAATCTGTGAAAAGAGCTAAACATCTATCCACCAGCTTTCTACTGCTGAACAATTCAGGAAACCCAAAGGCAGTATACATAAAGTTATCAAATTACTAACAATAAACATATATTTTTATATGTGCCAAGTCAGACCGTGGAATCATCCAGTTCAACCCTGTTGCCTAGAGCTGACAGCAACTGTCTGGCAAAACTTTCCCCAACCTTGCTGTCTGAGATGCTTTTAACAAAATATGTTGGAGAATAAATAGGGATCCCCTCGAAGCAGTTTATGTCTTTAAGGACTGAGCAATGACACTTGTCTTAAATAGCCTAGTTTTTGCTTTGTGTTCTGACTTGCTGCATCTCCTGTTCACGGATTCCTCCACTTAATTCCTTCTCTTGACTGCTTATAAGTTGTTTCACTTAGAGGCATGTGTGCCAACATTGGATCCATGCCATGTATTAGATTGGTAAGTGTCCAGGGCTTGTGGGGAGATAAATTGTGACCCACCTAATCTACAATAAGGAGGGGTGTTGTACAGCTCTGTTAGCCTAGTATAATGTTTGTTTTCAAAAAGAGTTTTTGGAGGTGAAGTGATATTTAAACTGAATGGGATGTTTTGCTGACACCACTGTAGCAACAGAAAATTCCATGGTGGCTTCAGTATTAGGGATTAGACATGGGATGTTCGTGTTCGTACCCCATGCCCAGTCATCAGTCACATAGCACCAATTGCAGAAGTAGCCCAGCTGGCACTTCCCCGCCTCTCAACACAGCCAACCACTCTGGCAAGGAGGCAGGGTGAGGAACCTCCCTGCTCAGCTGTGGGGAGAGGCAGGGAAGTGCCAGCCAGGCTACTTCCATGACTGGCGCTGTGCAACTGACAATGGCCACGCGAGCTGCACAGAGAGTGGTAAGTGGACTGGTGGATTCTGGGGGGAGGGTTTGGTTTCCACAGACACCTGTGGTACAAATATCCCATGTTTACTGGGGATCCTCACAAAAAAATAGCTGGGATTCACATGCAACCCACATGCTGCCCATCTTTGTTTTTTGCAGTTGATGGGTGATGTTTTACCAGACCCCTACTGAAGAATCTTTGGTTTCTGAGTTTCACTGACTACTAATCATGTTTTGGGTATGATGGTGGGTGTTTTATGCTCTTGCTGATGTTCCATTAGATCTGTTCATGCACAGTTGCACAATGGCACATATATGCAGATAGCTGGTATTGGTGCAGACAAAGCCCAGGAGTAGCACTGTGGGTGTTCTACAACACAAACTCATGGCACACAACACAACAGTTGTACAAACGTAACTGCACTTAATTTTAGTCATCTTTCCCTTGTATAGCACTCACCTTGAACCAAGGTCTCTATACTTAACTGTTGGAATTTTTGATTGTTATAGCATGCAACATGCAAGCATCTGAGACTAGTTGCCACAAGTCAGAAAAAAACATATATAATTTTTTGTACAGCACTGTTGAAATAAAAGGAAGGAGGGTTTGCAATCTGCACTGAGCTTTAGAGTCATAATAACGGTGTTCAATGTTACTAGTATCTTCAGCTCATTTGATCAGCCTGCTGTTATCTTAGTCAAAAAATTAGTTGGACTCACTAAAATTAGTTGGACCCACTTTATTATTTATTATTTAAAATGTTTTAATTCCTCCTCTTTAAAAGAAGACCCAAGGTAGCTTGAATCAGTTAAAAACATTAGAAGATAAAAACAGTAAGCATACAAATATTTTTTAAAAATCGGTTACCACACTAAAATGGTAAACAAAATCAATGCAAAAAACACATTCAAAGCAACAAAGCACAACAATCCATTTAGAAACCTCTCTAAAGCACATTTGTCTCATTTTCTAGGATAAGGTGGGCTAACTCCAGCCCTTCTGATGTTGTTGGTCTGAATCTCCCATCAACCCTTACCTGCAAAACTAGTAACGCAGAATGGGAGTTGCAGTGCAACAGCATCAACAGTTTGCCCACTCCTGTGCTAGAATCTGTTGTGAAAGCATAAGAACATTCAGAATTCACAAGGCACCTGATGGATCAGCAGCTGCTATAATATGTTTTTTAAAATATGAATTAATGATCTTCCCAAATAAATCTCTGCTAAACGTTGTTGCTGGTCTTTAGCAAAAAGGGAATCTTAAGTGGCTTGACCAGTCTTGAGAAATGGAAAACTTCTGTTCTACTCTCCTGTAGAGGGAAGGAGAGGAAGTTTTCCATTTCTTTTTAATCATTGCTAACGTAGCACATCAGTAAAGCTTTGACAAGGTTTAATAAAAACATTTTCAAAACATAACTGATATAGGAGCAACAACTAAGAAGAAATAATAAAACTTCTTGTCCATTCCCTTCCATAGGCAAGCGGAAAGGAAGCCTTACATTTCTCTAGATCCTCAAGTGGTTTCAAAGAAACTGCTTAATGATCTTGAGGCTGATTGTGCTAAACATGATTTCATGGAACATCAGTTCTTGCATGTCGATTTAAGGATTGCCCTAAATGACATACTGTACATCAAAGGGACCTAGTTTAGCATGATCAAGAGTGATCTAGGCTAGGATAATTCTGCAGTCTAATCACACAGTCTAGAATGGTGAGAATAGAGTGGAATCTAGGTATAGAAAAGATAAAATAGAAGGTTTTTAGCCAGAACAAACAATATTTGAAAAACCTCTGCTGGGCTCAAAAGATAACTAAGAAAATGTATGATTATTTGTTAGAAACTAAAATGCAAGATGAGATGATCAAAGAATGTATGTTTAGGTGGGCACAAAAATAGGATATAATATTGATATTGATCAATGGGTGGAAATATGGCAAAATAATATAAAGCTCACAAAATTGGTTAATTTCAAGGAGAATATTTACAAGATGTTTTATAGGTGGCATATGACTCTGGAAAAATTGTCAAACATTTATGCAGAGGTGTCAAATTGGACAGTGTTGGAAGTGTGAAGCCGTTTTATAGGTGGCATATGACTCTGGAAAAATTGTCAAACATTTATGCAGAAGTGTCAAATGTTTGTTGGAAGTGTGAAGCACATGAGGGAAGCTTTTACCATATGTGGTGGACTTGCAGAGTCATCATAGGCATCCTTCAGTCTCGAGAGACTATGGTAACATGCTCTGAATCGAGGAGTGTCCTCTCCAGAGCATGAAGCCCGGGTAAGGTAATATGGAGGATAGGCTGTTACCCAAGCAGCAAATCCCCCCTCTCCACATTGCTGAAATGGTCCAATGGAAAGGCAAGAGCCAATACAACTGGTTCCAGCAATGTCGCAGGAGTTGGCAGAACGACACATGCTGCCTTCGGGACTCCAGCTCCGGATTTTGCCTCGAGGTTAACTCCTGAAGCCTTTTCCATGAGTGGATATAGCCACAAGGCAGTGGAGGTTTGAAATCGGAGTTTTCCTTCTCCGAGATG